TTAAAAAAAAATTTTTTTGACTTTTATTTTTTGGCAACTGGCCAATATGGAAACCCAAACCCATGACCAGGCCACACTGTAACCAACGGAGCTAACCAGCCAGCCCTTAAAAAATATTTTTGAGTTATACATACATTGAAGTATGCAAGCCTAATGAATTTTTACATGTGCATATACAAGGGTACTTAATTTTTACACAAACTTTTTGCGACTACCACTCAGAGCAGAATATAGAGCATTCCAGCCCCTCAGAAGGCTCCCACGTGCATGTGCCAAGTTCGTACCCATCCTCCATGGTAACCACTATCTGAGTTCTATGACAGTATATTTGCCTGTTCTGTAATTTCATATACGTGGAATTGTACAGAATACAAATTTTTGTATCTACCTTCTTGTGCCTGTCATTGTGTCTGTGTTCCATGTTGTTGTACCTAACGATAGTTTGCTCTGTGTTATTGCTGTATGGATTCATTGTATGACTATGCAGCAATTTATCCGTTCTGCTGTTAGTAGCATTTGGATTGTTTCTGGTTTTTGAATATTATGAATAAAGTGACTATGAACATTTTTGTGCATGCCTTTGCTGGGTGTATATGTTCTGTTATCTTGGGTATTCCCTCAGATTTAATATTTCAGAGTTACTTTTTTATCTGTTTCCATGGATAAAAATTATCCTCCACCATAATCTATTTTAGACTATAAGGACCTAAACTGAAATTCTTTTTAAAATGTGTGAAATAGTTTTTTAAAACANCCCCCCCACACACAAGAATAGCAACAAAACTGAAAAGATACATTGGCGCACATGGGCACTAACTCCACACACACACACACAATTTGCCTACAATGGACGTGCTGAACCACACCCAGCTGGACTCTAGATGAGGGCCCTGACCAAACTATTCTATTTTCCCAACAGATGCGTATTCAACTCTTGTGGACAGTTATATTAGTCAGTTGTCAATTTGAACCTTTGAGACAGTATTTTCAGGGATTCTGAATTATAACCTAATTTCTTAGCATATTAAATAGGTTAACTTTCAACTTTGTAGCATTTTAAAATAAAGTAATCTTTTAGGTAAAGAAAATCATTTTCTTACTGTGGACACCTCTCCAGACCTTCCCACAGAACTGACAACTTCTTAATGTGTTACAAATATTTTAATTATTTAATAAACAAATATTTAATGAACATGATATGAAAATGGAATCATTGTGCTTTAAAATATCTTTTAATAC